AGATTATGTGGAATGACATATTTTGGTGTTTTGAATTGTGTGGATTTGATATTTTTCAATGATATGATTAAATCAATAGAGGATTGAACTGTTTGTATGATGTGTATGAAGTGATTTCTTGTTTGACTCAATGTTCAACCCACATAATTTCGAAGTGAGGCGTGTGTGTATATAGTATGGAAATTTTGAGTAGCATGAGCCAAATAAAACTCTTGAAAAATATGAAATAGAGTTTTTCGAGAAATACTGTCGCTTGAACGAAGTCCAAAGATAGGCGAGCGACAAGTGCTCCACTCGAGCGAGGCTAGCGACAATGTTATTGTTTTGGAAGCTTAAACAACAACTTAGCAGCAGGCTAGCATTAATCTGATAACTCTTTCCTTTGTTCCATAGACGGCCCCAGGGACTTCTAACTCATCTATAATCTACCACTTGACTCTTTGATTTTTTAAAACTCTTTTACAACTATGTTTTTATCTAAAGATTGCCCAACATCTCTAAAATCGAACAATCTGGAAATCTGCATGTCCTGAATAATGCTTTCGCCATTATCTGGATGGTGAGGCCATAAGATACAGTGTACATCCAATAACTTGGAATAACTTCATCATGAGTAGCCAGCAAACCGTCTTTGTTCAACAGTCCCACAGATGTTCAGTCATCCCAAACAAGGATAAGAACTTTAATACCTTCACCTGCTTTTTTCTTAAGCAATTTGCCAAGGGTAATGTCACTCCTGACTTTTGCCTCCTTGAGTCCCTGCGATTTCAGTGTACAGACCAGCCAGTAATGTAAATCAAGTGCTTGGCATTAATGATCGCGTAAAAACATCTTCCCAACATCTGTGAGGCTCGTAATTCTTTCCTCCAGATGGGGGGGTTTTTGGAATAAATATGTCCATGGGCATCTTGGTACAATGGCACCCCAGGATACTTAGAATTTCTAATTCCACAAGCCCAATTACAATCCCGAGAGATATCAGAATACTGTAGTTTTCACATGGATCTTAGAACCTTCATGTATAGTGACTATGCCAATATTGATATACCCCGAGGAGTGTATCCCGAGGACTCAATCTATACCCCCACCTCATTTCTCTTCCT